AAAAGAAACACTTCAATTTTCCTGCTTCTGAAGGATAAGCGAAACTCATCTTGTGCGGTAAGTTTTATGCCCTGTTTTGATAGTTTTTGTGCATCCATCTATCCAGTCCTTTCTCTGAATTGTATCCGTTTAAAGTTTTTGGTCACAGTTCACCATGAACTTCAGTTAATCAATTGTGGCTTTACATTTATATACTTTAAATTTAGTACTTATGTTCATATGATGTATTTTTTTAAACATTATACACCACATAACTGTTTTTATGGATCACTGAACATAGAAATGTCATAATGTGAAATATAGTACATTCTTAGGTTAAAGTTTTTAGGTTAAGGAAAATAGCTTACAATGAAATTGAATTTTCGTGCACATGGTCATTATGTGGTGAACTTTTAAATTCAATGCCAAACTTAGATTTTGAGCCTGATTACATAATTCACTAAACATTGACACATGCTAGTGTTCGCCGGGCATGGTGTCCTGTACTGTCGCTGAGTATGGAGTTTTTGTCAATGTTTGATAATAGTGGAATTTTTGAATGAAATCCTGACAACTGCTTGTTAATCATGTTTATACATGTATTAAAATTCATATCTGACACATTGGTGTTTTGCGAATTTGGAAGTAAGTCATTTGATAGAATAATAATGTTTTAAGATTCTCAAAATCAAAAATATTCAATTTTTACTATAAATAATAAATATTAAATAAAAATATTTAGGATGAATGTATAAACATATATAAAAATGAGACAGCAACCGAACAACACAAAAATAAAAAAAAAACAATATATATATTTTTTTTGTCTCAATGTTCTAACATCCAAAGAGTTCAAGGTATTTTCTCATTGAAATAAAACAGAACATGCAGAAGTTGAACTATTACCGAAGCTTAAAGTATTGCTGTTTCTGTTGTTTAGCGTTTTGTATGTATTGCAAATTCTTGTGAAAAATGGAATGTTATTGTAATTGCCTAAAGTTTTAACATTGATAAAATTGAGAATGGAAATGGGGAATATTTCAAAGAGACAACAACCCGACCAAAGAGAAGATAACAGCTGAAGGCCACCAATGGGTCTTCAACGCAGCGAGAAAATCCCACACCCGGAGGTGGTCCTCAGCTGGCCCCTAAATAAAATTGTGTACTAGTTCAGTGGAAATGGGAAAAATACCCAAATGTTATAGAGAAGAATACATAAATTAATTGTTATATAATATTAAAATAAGAAGATGTGGTATAATTGCTAATTTGACAAATCTCTATCAGAAACCAAATGATGTAGGAGGTTAGCAACAGTTGACACTGGACGACCTTCAACAATCAGCAAAATCCATACCGGATAGCTATTTTTGTTGAAAATGATATGTTCTTGCTACATGTATGCAAATTTTTTTTATTATCCATAACTTAGGATTTTTTTTGGTTTTTTTTTCAGAAGGATTGAAATGCATCACTTAGAAAAAAGGGAGAAAATACAGAAACAAGACCAGAATAAATTCAAAGACAAAAGTCAGATCAGTTATTATTTTCATCAGTCAATGAATTGAAGTTCTATTAAATACCAATAGATATTGAAACCATAATCATGACAATGTTCTGTGCTGAATGGCCAAAAGTTGGACTATACACTACGATCACACAATGCTGGATGATAAGAAACTATTAATTTTTTGGGTGGAGGGATATCCTGAAAAAAATAGATTTATGTAAATAGCTATGTTAAGCCTAATAATAGAGTTTAAATGTTTTCATTTGTTTCAAATGTGAAATAATTGTGTTTCAAAAAAGTATTCTAGAATTCATAAATAAACATATATTGACACTTACATTATCTGCTTTGTTGTTTAAATGTTTAGTTTTGAACAGTTATAGAACAGTATATTGCATTAACATATCCAAGGAAAAAAAGATATTCAACTAAAAAGATTCATTAACCTTAGAAACAATACTAGGAAACTGATAACTAAAACACAAAAAAACACTGTACTTAAATTCATTGATGTTTAAAGGAAATCAATCATCCCATGGGATATTAAAAATTCCATAGGATAATTATAGTCCCATGGGATTTTTTTGTCCCATGGGACAACAAATATCCCATGGGACTTTAATTATCCCATGGGACCCAAAAAAAATCCCATGGGATTTAACCAAAATCCTATGGGATAATGGCCAATCCCATGGGATTTTGCCCTATCCCATGGGATATTCAAAATCCCATGTTTTTCTAAATCAAATTGCAAAATATATTTAATAATAACAGCAGAAAAGCAATGAATTTATTGAATCCCATGTAATTCTGCACATTTTGGTTATATACATGACACTGTAGCTATAAGGAGAGGCGGCGGCGGATTTGCAAATGAGTGTTTTGCAAATTAAAAGTGTCCTGTGTTCATAATGCAAATAAAGTTCTTTACAAGTTTGTTCTTTAAGAAATTGCCATATGGGATTAAAATTTTAGCTCCAACCAAAGGAGTAGTTAAATGTTTTTTTTAAATTCAAAATAGATGCCAAATATTTTTTTCACTACTAAGATTTCCTGAAATATAGTTTTTTTTTAAATGTCTTGAGAAAATTTGTAGTGAACACTGATAGAGGTCGGTCAATATAAAACGTATCCAATCGTATCAGATACGTTGACGCATACGTATCTGGGGATATACTTAAATAACATCACCACGATTGTGAGTAGAACTGAGTGTATTCTTTTTAGGGAATAACTCAGATCAAACTAGGAAACTTTGGGACAACTGATGAATTTGAATCCGGTATATTTTTAAATGCCTCACTAACATTTCCGGACCAGAGTTGCGAATTGTTTTGCTGCAATTTCATATGTTTTACAAATGTACTATTCTTGAGTGATATATCGTTGAAAATATATACGTGCTGCACTTCCAAAATTCGTGGCAATGATTGGTGTAACAAATAAATGCCCCAAGTCCAATTATTGCATCTGGAACAAAACCGAATCCAGTGCATCTTATTTTGAGCCTCACAGAATAGAGAACAATTTTAAGGTAATAAATTTGAGTTTTCAAAAGGATACATTCCTAGATATAAGGTTATGCACTTTTAAGTAATGAAGCGAAATCAAATTTTTATCGGGAAAAGGAAATTCCATATAATTGGCATGAAACTACTAAAAGGAGACCAGGCCTAGGGGTTGGTGCGGTAGGTGACTTATTTGGTCCCAAATATCAAGTCCATTATTTCAAGACGAAAAACACTTCAAGTTGTTTGAATTAACATACAAGAATTAAATGCGGGTTAATGATAGTACCACCATTTTCACAAACTACCAAAAACACCACCATCTCTAATCTAGAAACAAATTTTAGGTTCCCATGAAATAAAGATTTTTAATACGCGTCATTGACCCAAAACTCTTTATCAAATGTTGTGTTTTGATATATCTGCAGATACATAAACGTCAACGTATCGATACGAGTGGGTACTTTTTAAATTGACGGACCTCGAAAAGTAATCATTGCTGTTCATGCTATTGAAAAAAAAAACAATTTCTATTGTTATGAATCTTTCGGGATGTAGAAGCAGGGGTTTTCAGAAACCCGTCTGGTCACACCCTGTGATCAGAATTCATTGTTATTCAAATAAATATCTTTTCAATTTACACTTGTTTCGGAAATAGAAACTATGAAGTATAACAATAGAAATGGGGCGTAAGTTCATTTAATATAATCTTAGACAATATTTTGTATGACACTTATCAATTTGAATACTGTTATTTATGATATTGGATTATTATGTTATTGATAAAACATTGTTTGCAAGAGAAAGGAAAAAAGTTACTGCAAGCAACCAAATCTATATTAGAGTTTTATCTTATTCATACCAGAGACATACATAAACATTTATTAAATGTCTCTGTTCATACTAAGGAATTTAGCAAAGAAATACTTTAAATTCGGACGAGCATGGAGAGGGAGAATTTAAAGGTCTTTCATATGATGATTCATATTATATTACATGTGTAGGTCTATTTTGAACCGTTTTTAACAGTCTTGGCATTATCTCGCAATTCATATTATGAACTAAGTTCATTGAAATTTAATTAATCTTCTATGGAAGGCCGTTTTAATATATATTCCATTTTTCAGATATCTTAGAAAGTTAAAAATATATCTTATAAAGTAAATACGATATCTTATAAATTAGTATATCTTATAAATTAAACAAGATATCTTATTAAACAGTTTATAAAGATATCTTATTAGGTTTATCATTCATATTATTTAGGTTATAAGATGTCTTATTTAGTTGTAAACATTATAAAGATATCTTAATTATTTAATAAGACATCTTGTAAACGGTAAAAAATATCTTAAAAACCTAAAAAAAATATCTTATAAACTAAACTTATGAACTAATTAGGATATCTGATAAATCAATCAGATATCTTATATAATTTTAAAGATATCTTATAAATTATACAAGACATCTCATAAAGTTTTTGTTTAAAATATATCTTTAAAAATATATATAAGATATCTTATAAGTTATATAAGATATCTTATTTAGTTAATTAGATATCTTATAAAGTTAATAAGATATCTTATAAAGTTAATAAGATATCTTATAAAGTTAATAAGATATCTTATAAAGTTAATAAGATATCTTATAAAGTTAATAAGATCTCTTATAAAGTTAACATGATATCTTATCAAGTTTTTATTGATTGATGATTGTTTGACGTCCAGTGGCAAATATTTGATGCTTGTTCAGGACGAAATATAGAAAGATATTATAAAATAAATAAGATATATTTTTTGAACTTCAAATCAAATAAGATATCTCATGACGAATATACGATATCTAATATATTTGGTAAGATATCGGATTGACTATAAAAGATATCTTGGAATTGAATAAATATTAAAACGGCTTGCCATAATCTTTACCGATAAATAAGCCCAATACTTACATATATATACGAGATTTTGAATTGACACGGAAGATTGTAGTTTAATGTTACACTCGGTGACAACTTACAAGGTTGTGAAAAGTAAAATGTCAGATAAAATTGTTAATGTAAATGATTGGAAGTATACAACTTTGCAATATTTGTATGATATGCGCGAATCAGAATGTGCAAGTTATGAAAAAAACAGAAAAGCAATAACGGAACGCAAAAATGCATTAGAAGATGAAATTGAGAGGTATGCTAATAAAATGTTACAGGAGTTAAATAAACCGTGGATGAAGTTGAACGAAACAATCACCAAACAGGAAAAACAGCTTCTTCAAAGTGATCTCACGTTAGAAAGAACCTTTATTTTACCAACAAATCAAGTGCCGCAATTCTCTGATGGAAATCTGTCAGAAGAGTGCATTTCAAAAATTTTTGGCAGTTTGGTCAATAGGAGCTATATAAGTGAGGAAATTGAATTATCAAAAATTAAATCGTATGACACGGATGTTTTGTATACTAACCCTATATGTCCTATTAACGATCAAACTTTACTGATTGGCTGTGCTGCAGATAAAGTTCTAAAACAAGTTACAATGGTGAAAAAGTGTAAGGAAATCAACGCATTGCAAGAAATTAAAGTTTCTTCTATAATTGCACAAAGCTCCGGGAAAGTGATCTTATCGGAATCAAACGATACGTTTTTAAAACTACTAGTAAGTGATGGATCATTACAGCAGTTTGTTGATTTCAATCCATTGATTCCAAAAGGAATATTCATAACGGATGAAAACGAAGTTTTTGTTGGACTTCGAGAGAAAACAACGAATCCATTCGTGATAGACAGATATAGCGAAAGACAGGTACGTCATTTAGACTCTCATAGCAGAACAAGGCACATATATGAATTTGATGAAAACCAAAAAAGGCTATTCACCGTGCCATCCAGAATTATTGCTAGCAACTTGAATATACATGTTATTGATACTGAAGACGAAGATAATGGAAGAATAATTACCTTAGATTTTCCTGGAAATGTCCAATGGATCTATAATGGACACGCATTTTCTAAATACGCGTTTTGTCCGAATGATTTTGCATTGTCTCCTCAAGGATATCTGGTTGTTACCGATACATATAATGACGCCCTGCACTTTTTGAATAATCAAGGTGACATTTTACTCTATAAAACACTTAGTATTTTTGGAATATCATTGCCTTGTAGTGTTGCGATAGATTTTAAAAGTCAACTTTGGGTAGGAACTGGCCGCGACAAAACAAAATGTGCAAAAGTTCATGTTCTGTCAATGTTCAAATGAATTATAAATAAATAAAATGATTTTGTTCGATTTTATTTGCAATACAAGTTTCCTTCCATTTATTTTCCTTTTTATAAAATTTTTAAGCTCATGATTAATGTAGTCATGTAAATGTTATCTCCCATTTATTGCAAAATTATGTCAATTAACTAATTCCTTAACTACTATCAAAGAAATTATCATTAACTTTTGTTAATAAAACATGAAAATAGTGGAATTAACTATTTTTGGAGTGTAAAAAATTCTTAGGATGTTTTAGATGAATTACATGGTTTTGATAGTCCTTCTGATTCTGTTGGCAGTTTTGGCTTTTAAACTCTTTACACTACACTTCCATACAATCTTAGAAAACAAAAGCTTTCCTATTTGATTAAATGGTCGTTTGATAAATCTGATTGCAAATATATTTGTTGTAAATCATTTAAAGCATTTTTCTCTAATGAGAAAGGTAAATATGCTAGATATACTTACCGAGGTGTGATGAGATGATTAAAGCTGTTAATTTTCTCCTTGATAACATTTACATGTATGTTCGTTTCGGCAATTAGGTCTATCGACAGGTTGTAGGTATTCCTATGGGCACCAATTGTGCCCCTTTAATATCAGACTTGTTCTTGTACTGTTATGAATCACAGTTTATGACCAACCTCAGTAAAGACCGGTTTAAGTTGTATTTAACGGATAAATTCAACAACTGTTACACTTACCGCTATCTTGATGATATCTTTTTGTTGAATAATCAAGAATTTTTCTAAATATACTGCCGAAATTTACCCAAAGGACGTTACTTTAAATAATTCAAATATAAACGGTAATAAAGTCCTTTCCTAGATCTAGATATTTCAGTTTCACAAATTTATGACAAAAGGAATCGTTCCCTGTTGTTAATTTTCTTCTTTTTTTTTTGGACGGTGATGTTCCTTTGGCACCATCTTACGGTATGTATATATCACAGCTCGTTCGCTATGCCCGTGTCTGTATTGACATTTCGGATTTCAATGAACGTTATCTAGTCTTTAGTTTTCTATGTTGTGTTTTGTGTACTGTGTCTGTTTGTCTTTTTCTTTTTGATCCATGGCGTTGTCAGTTTATTTGCGACTTGTGAGTTTGAATGTCCCTTTGGTATCTTTCGCCTCTCTGTTCTCTATGTATTACTGGAGACTTATTAAATCAGGAATTTCGTTACCACAAATTACTTAAAGGAGACCCACACGTAGCCTCTGGCTGTTGGCAATCCTCTTTAAATAAATAAAGAATTAAATTAAATTACTTAAAACCTTTACTAAATTCTTCAACAGATACAAAAATTTGGTTTGGATGTTTGGCTGTAGCTGTAGTATAAAAATAAGGAGATGAGGTATGATTGCCAATGAGACACTATCCACCAAAGTTCAATTAAAGTGGATGTAAGCAATCATAGGCAACCGTACAATGTAAAAAACTCATACCGTATAGTCGGCTACTAAGGTATATTTATTTTAAACGGGATAACACATCCTAATTTTTACGGAGATGTTGTTTACCGAGCCCGAAAATTTAGATACTATTCCGGTAAACTTATCGATCTTTTAAATAAACTTATTCTAAAAGGTTACCAATTCAGCATTGTAATTAGATCTTAGCTGTCAGTAACTGCGAGTACTCTCAGATCTGTACTTAGTATCTTTTTTGATGTGGGGATGTAAAAATACCCTGCCACGTCCGGTTTGTGTTAGATATTTTTCTGTTTTGTATCAATCTGATGAGTTAAGCCTTTTTCAACTGATTTTATAGTTTGTTCTTATGTTGTACTTTTACACCACTGTCCCAGGTAAGGGGAAGGGTTTAGCGCCAGCAAGTTAGTTAACATTTTACACAAATTACCACCACATTCTGTATGTGCCTGTCCCAAGTCAGTGGTTGGTTGTCGTTTGTTGTTGTACATCATATTTGTATTTCGTTCATTGTTCTGTACATAAATCATGCCGTTATTTTTATCGTGTGAATTGTTTTACATTTGTCATTTTTGGGGCCTTCTATAGCTGACTATGCGGTATGGGTTTTGAACAGCGGTATACTACTGTTGCCTTTATTTATTACTCATTGCTGAATGCCGTATGGTGATCTTTAGTTGTTAACCTCTATGTCATATGGCCTCTTGTTTAGAGTTGTCTCATTGGCAATCATACCACATCTTCGTTTTTTTTATTTCAGTAGATATATGAACCTACCGATTTGGGGAATTGTGGATATTCTTGTTAAAGTAACTGTCACATCTAACTTTTATACTAACGTTAGAGTTGACACATTTTGTCGTGAAGTATTTTTTTTACACAACAAATGCCAAGATATAATATAAGGCAACTAACTACTTTTAGAGGTTCCTTACTTGGTTGAGGCACATGAAATGGACAAAAATCATTTCCAATACGAAAGAAAATATTTGTTTTTCAGTAACAAAATGTACAAGAACGTTCTTTCGTCATTTGTTTACGAAAAAAGGACTTGGTTTAGTAATACCAAAATAATACACGACAAAAATAAAAGTATTTAAAACAGGGTTTAGAAATACCGTATCAAAAATGAATGACAGATACGTCAGCAGGCTACCAGTACATAATTTGCTGACACAGATATAATAGCATACATAATCGTTGATAAAATTTCTAACATTTTTCCTTATATTTTTTTCTTGCTTTGCTTGTTTTTTGGCAAGAACATGAAACTACTTAGTGACAATAATTAAAACGTTATATTAAGGACAACCCATTTTAACTCTCTTAAATTTATGACTGTATTTAAGAAAAAAACATTAAACTTTTAATTATAATACATGTTGTAACAAACCAAGCAAATGTAATAATCAGGAATAACAGCGCTGTGCTTGGTGGGTTACCTCTGTCGATTGGGAATTTGTTGGTCGTAAAAGATAAATTGATTGATTTTGGGGGGAGCCGGAGTGCTCGGAGAGAAGCAACGACCTTTGTCAGGAAAACTGACAAAAAATTATAGTCGGACGTACCTGCTACGTGCAGGGTTCGAATTTACAACCTCAGTGTTGACAGGCTATTGATAGTAGATAAACTTCTAAGAACACTGGACCACCAAGGCCCATTGGTCGCAAAAGATAATGGTAGGTAGATTGATTGTTTGCTTAACGTTCAGTGGCAGTTATTTTATGCATATTCAGGACACAAAAAAAAATTAACCAAAACTCTAAATATGTTAGTTCGGTAAAGAGGTGAACCGGGATGAACGGAAAATTTCAACTGTCACTGGTAAAAGAGGGTAAGCTTGGAAGGAACACAAATTTTGCTTTGCAATAGGTCAGCTTTGGGTTCTTCAAAAAGCTGTTGCAAGGTTTATACAGAGCGGGATACTCTAGCTTCACGTTACATCGGTTTCAACGTCTCCATTGCGATCGGGCGTGGCTGAGTATTTATACATCCTGCACAGACAAAACCGACACCCTACTTTAGTAAAAGTCATGCACTGTTTACAAGAGACCCATGCACAAATAAGATGGAACTGATAAAATAATTGATATACCATAACTACAGATATACCGCACCGAAAACTCAAGAGTAAATTAATGGCTTTCTTTAAAATTGGGAATACGAAGTTTTGAAGCATAAGTGAATTACATTAAGTGTATTCCGCGTCATATTTTAATGCTGAAAGGTGGAATGAAAAGACAGAACATTTTATATAGGTCACAAATGAACAGTATTAAATACAATAGTTCACTTATTAGAGGTTTTTTTTATTAATTAGATAGTACCATACATGTATAAATAAAAACTTATATTTTTACATGTATGCATTAATCTCCGATATGACTCGTTTTGTCATATATTGTGATTGACAATAGGGTTGAAGGGATGCAATTTGCGTACTATGTCCTTATCCAAATGCCAGCAATTTGAACTGTACTGATGAGATGGTTGAAACCAAGGGCAAACATTTTCGAATATAAAATGAGGAGATGCGGTCTGATTGCCAATGAGACAACTATCCACCAGAGTCCTAATCACGTGGACGCAAAATGCAATTGCATCATGGGAGCGTCGCTTCATTGGTCTCATTTACGTTGGGCCTGGGACTATACAACGTCTGTTGAATTTCGGGATAAATCAATTAATTAAAGGTAAAACACTTTTTGATGACATGAAAATATACAAAGTTTCCTTCAAAAGCAGCTGTCGTGCGCAAGTTGAAATCAAAACTGCCTACTAAAATAACTATTTGAGACCGAGAAGCAAACAAATGTAGTTCATTCCATTTAATTCAATCAATCAAGTCAATTTAAAGAGTCAAGTCAAATTTGGTTAGGTTTTTTATTTCAAGCCGAAGAGAAAATAAAAGGATAAATAGGATGAAAATGTATGGGCATTGAAGTGTTTATGCAACTGATGATAATAATTTATACTATATGTATTTATAATATTGATATCTTCAAAACGTACAATGTAGTACCTATGGATCAATCAATTGCAATAATTTGTTTAACCTTCCTATAAATTATAGTGTACATTTACCCCCACTCTATGGTTGAGAAGTATCTTTGAGTGTCGTTCTAATATCGCACATGTTTGTCAGTAGTTAAATAATACTGCACGTAAAAATTCTGTAAAAACCTCCCAGGTTGCATCTTCAATATTAAGATAGAAATTTCATAACTTTATACGAGGTTAATCTTTCAATAAGATGTCTATTTATATATCATAATAAACATACAATGTTAGGCCAATGTCAGAAAAATATAAACTTTTTTGTATGAGGCTGAGAAACTTGGGAAGAGCGAGGATGTACCGAGCCCTTCCTCAGTTTTGTGCCGAATACAAAAAAGTTTATATTTTTCTGACAGTGACCTAATATGGTTTTTATATTGCAACTTAAATTAATACATTGATAGCTATTTAAATTGTAACACAAATTTCAAACTTATATTCATAAATGAACCCCTGATTCTGGAAAAAGTGATTCATGAAGAAATTGACTGTGTTACTATATTAAGGAAATAAACATAACTAGTGTTATACATGAATGAT